TATGATTCTAAAAAGCATACTTTTTCATCCTTTAACACCAAGCATTTCACAGATTTCATCTAAAACTGTGCACATGGAGCTGGGAGGGGCAGGCAAAGCAATTTACAGGAAAAAAATTATTCACGCAGTAAGTTAATAGAGCATTTGTAATGAGTGAGGTGTGAGTCCTGCTTCCTTATCCCTGCTCTCAGGACTGCACACAGTCAGTAGATTAATAAAAGAAAAAGCAAACTTCAGAAACAGCTCATGGAATAGAGATCAGAACATGTGACTGGAATCCAGATTTCTTAGCACGCTAGTACTACAGGCATTTTGCAGAGCAGCAGTGGGAAGGCAGAAGAAAGGAGAAACACCGGGTATGTTTTGGGAAGAACTGCAGGAGGCACAAGTTGGTACCTTGGAATGTAGTGACAAGTGAATTAACTAAATACAGTAGTATACATAAAATGTAATAATTGTACTTGGGAGTATTATTCTGGCTTTGTGAGTAAAGTAAGGGATGTTTCTTACAAAACTAAACAGTGGGAGCTGTCAGGAGTTGCTGATCTAGAAACTAGGACCCATGATGGGGTGGTCAGTGTGTGGAGCTCAAGCCTTTAATGTGACAGTGGCCACTGAGTTGTGTGTTGGGGTTGACAGTGGTCTCAAAGCTTCAAATTCACACCTTGAAGTGCTTTGAACTCACTCCTTAGGTGTGATGGTGGTTTGTGGTATTGGGTGTGTGTTATGGAGGAGTTTCTCTTCTGAGACTGACTAGTCAGTAGAGCTCCCCATTGCTGTTTCTGATGCGGGGGAAGTACAAAACATTTGCTGAAGTGAACACAGTGAGTAGGGGGAAGCCACTCAGCTTTGCTCTGAAACAGCAGACTTTTCTTGGAAAATGTGATGGATGTAAAGTCCTCTTGGATTTGAAATAAGATTACAAGTTTCTTTTACTGTAAGAATTAAGAGAGCATCATTGCTTTTCAGTGTGAAGAACAACAGAAAATAATGCCCGAGACTGATGTCTGCTAATCATGGCAGTAAAATTTATGGAGACAGGGATGGAGTTTCTCTCCAGGCACAAGGTTTCTCTGGGCCTGGAGCAAGAATTATTAGATTGAACAGCTTCATTCTGTCTTTCACATTTATCCAAAATCCTTGGTATGGTACTAATTAACATAGTCCAACTTTTTCTTGTTAGGATTTTACCTGTCAAGAAACATTTATGAGAAGTTTGGGGTTTTTTTCTCCTACATCTTTATGGGGATATTCTAAACTGCTTTCTTTGTACAGAATCCAACTATTTTCCTTCTAGATAGACTTAACTGGACGTCTCTCTCTCATACTATTTATGGCCTATTCCCAGTGTGAGAAAAATAAATATATTAGATCTTCCATGCAATCAATCCAGGTCAGGAGTTTAGAGTCGACTATAGGCTATGAACTAGTGAAATCATTGGGAAAGAATTTCAGTAACAGAGTGTATGAGATGAGGTTTGGCTTTAAACATTTCAGAGACTGGAAGCAGGAAAAAACCAGTAAGATAAGGCTGACTTAAAAAATAATTAAAAAAAATAAATTACATGGTTGCCATAGCACAAAAATTAGAATTATTTTATTTAGGGGATAAGGTGCAAAACTCTATGAAAGAGCAGTTTTGTGATGTTGTTGACCAGCAGATAGTACTTGGTGGGAGGATTTTTTTATCTGTCTAGTTTCTTTATCAGCTGTAGGTGCATGCGCCAAGCTAATGCATGCAGGTCTGTACTATTACCACAATTTGGGATGCTTCAGCATGTGGTGGAGGAGGATCAGGGACTACATCTATAGAAGGAAAGGGATGCTGTTACAATGACATGGTGAGAGAACTAAGTGAAATATCTGGGAAAACATTCCAGAGAGTGAAATGGATAGCTCAGGGAAACAGCCTTCCAAGCAAAGAGTTTTTCATACTTCAAACTTACCAGAAAAAATGCAAGTGAATATAAAACTGGTAGGGAGTTTTATAATGGCTGGGAAAAATAACCTAGCTAATTTAATGGACTTTTTGTGTTTCTAACATCTGGATCCAGGGAGTTAATCTGAATAAGTGGCATTCTGAATCTGCTTATCTGGTGGTAAATCAGGAAAACGGGGAATTCAAAAGTGCACATCTACATCGATAGCATTAGAAGGCAACATGCATTGCAACTGGTAATCATTCACCTAAAACCATGAAACTTCTCTGTTAAATTTAAAATTATGAAATCATTGGGCTGGACCTCAGAAGGGGACTGATACCACGCCATCCCTCACAAGGAGTGTCTGTCTGGTCTTGTCCATTGGCGGTGATACCAAAGCCTCCTGGCTGCTCTGCTCTGGTTCCCCCTGAGCTCAGCACCTCACCTGAACCTGTTTTCCAGAATGTGAGCTCCATCCCAGCTCCCCTATCCTCTATGAAGCTCCTCTGAAGACTGTTACCATTTGTGTCCTAGAGCTTCTCCTGCTCATGCTTTCTCCTTTGCCCCACTAAACCCTTCTGTCTCTCCTTATGTTTATGACACATCTAATCATCCTTTTTGCATATTTTTGCATCATGTCAAAATGTTCTTCATGGAACCCCCTGCCCTGAACTGCAGCTGCAGTCTTACCCAAATGGAGAAAGCAAAAGGAAAGCTTACTTTTCTCCCTTGGGTGGGGCATCTGCTGTTTGTATAACAGAAACTGCCTCACAAACTCCTGTTCAGACTGACCCACTCTATTAACCTCTCTGACTTTGTGAAAAACTACTATATAGGCACTGTCATTCTTTCTTTGTCTCTCTAAGCAGCTAGTTAGTTATGTCCAAATTTAATGTTTGCACTTGTTCCCATTGAAGTATTATCCTGTTTTGTCTTTTTTCTTTCTGTTTCTTCCATTTTGCCTGGTGATTCAGCAGACTTGCTGTACTCTCCCAAGTATTCTTTTCAAAGCACTTAGAATTGCCAAACATCATAATGGTTCATTATGCCATACCCCGAGGCAGTTACACCTGTGCTTTATGTCAAAGGCTCTGCATTTTATATGAAGGTAAAAAAAAGGAGTTGTGTAACAAAGGAGCCCTCCCTATATGTGTAACTTAACACACTGTGATTTCAGCCCTTTTTGATACAAGACTGAGGCAGTCCTAAACACTAAACATTTATTTCAAGACTGAGCTGTGGCACAGAGCTCAGAAGCATCCTGCCCCACATTTCTTAGAGACTCCAGTAGAGAACATGAACCACTGATGCAATTAGGCGGCAAGTGGAGCAGAAGTGTCCAGAACACTCATTGCTGAGGTTCCTCTAATGACTCTCCTGATGACTGTATTTGTGGTGAAAGGAAGTACTTCCTGTTTATTTGGTTGAAATAACCTTTCTTGCGTAGAATTGCTTCATTCTTGTTAAATCTCTGAGGGACTGGCACAGGTACAAGAAAATTTAGTTTAATTGAAGAACTTCACTTTCAAAATACTCAGTCAGCTTAGCTTCAGATGTCAAAAAAGCTGCTGATACTCACAAGAATTTCTGTAACAGAAATAGCCTTGCACTGTGACACCTCTCCTGTCCCATCTGCCCTAATTCTGGGTTGTGTTCACCTTTGGTGTTGTTTGACTGGGTTGGACCTTTCCAGGAGGGTACTGGACTGCTGATAGTTTGTGGAGCACCTGAGGGATTTGCTATGGATGACTGACAGACCTCTGACCTTTGGAACCTGCAAATAACAAATGAAAAACTAATTCGTGGCCTGAAATGGTGGGGAGGGCCAATATGCAGTTATAAGGATTCAGGTATGCACCTAAGGATGGTCTGAAGGGAAAACAGTAGGAAAGGAAAATGAAAGGCATGGGTGAATTTCGAAGTACATCATCCTGGACACAGAGGATTGCGTTTGCAAATTCATTCCCCACGTACCCTATTATTCCATTATAAACTGATCAACTTGCCAAATAGGTTTTTCATAACAAGAAGGTGCCTTTCTGTAGAAAAAAATAACGTGTAAAATACCTGATTCTACGTTGTTCAAAATGGAGGTTCAAAAATTGAGAATAAGCAACTGTAATTAGTCTGCTTTACTCCCAAGGATTAACAAAGAGATCTTTGCTAAGCAACATGATTAATCAGGAAGAGATTAAACGTATCTGCCATGTTGTGTTGTCATCACTGTCTTTTTACTGAATGAAGTGTTTTCATAGTTGTATATGATAATACTTCTAGTCTAAATGATTTCTTTTTACTGGAATGAATGGTAATTCTTCTTTATACATGAAACCATACTGACTTTGAGGAAAAGGATCTTCTCATTTGAACAAAGAAGTGTAGTAATTTTTTTCATGTTGTCTACTTCCTTTGTCTAGTGCAGAACTTGTAAATTTATATAGGGCATTCAGGAATTAAATGTGCACGTGATAAAACTAAAGGTATTCACTTCCTGGCAAATTGTTCACAAGAACTTTACTGGTTTCTAGACTGCAAATTCTGAAGAAATTATGAAATTGTTTGGAAAGTATTTTCAGATGTGGCATATCTATATTTTGAGTGGCATGTGCCAGTTCATTTACAGCCCTGTTCATTATCTCTATTTCTTCTTGGGTGCACCAAATAAATTAAAAATAACTCCAGAAAACAACAGGTATCTATAATGAATCTCTGAATACACTGCTCTGCTGAACTTCCTGTGAACATATTTACTAGAAAATTTGTGAGAGGGGAACTTCATATAAGCCTGGAAAACCAAACTCCCCAAGAAATCTCTTAAAATCCTGATTTGGACTAGGTTGTGCTTCCAGTATGAAAGAACTGTGTGACATCTCTCTGGTGCTTCTGCATCTAGTTGATGCCAAACAATACAGATTTGTGGGACATGAAAACAAAACAGTTGGGGCTGGGGGAAATTTAATTAATGTCGCTTGTGTGGATTAGCTGCTTTATTTAATTGAGTTCTTCTGTACCTAATTTGCATGGATATGATTTACCCTCAGTTTTCGAATAACAGAGTTGCATTTGTTTCCTTTGCAGGGGGAGAGGACCACTGAAGCACACATCTGATGTAATCAATGCAGCAAAGATGATCTCGGAGTCAGGCTCCAGGATGGACGTCCTGGCGCGGCTCATTGCGGATCAGGTGGGTTATTCATGCAGCAGTGCGGCAAACTTGTCCCAAACCCATCCATTCACAGAACCTCTGACACCTAAGAAGGTCACTTACTGAAGTGTTCATGACATTTTTAAATCTACTGTCTAATTTTCTTTCTGTTCTCTCTTTCTAAAGCTGTAGATATATAAATTCCGTCTTAATGTATGTGTGGATTCTCTTCTTCTTTATAGGTATTAATGTTTATATACACGTACACATATACACACACTTAAATATAAGTGTACTTTCACAGATGTGTCTGGACAAATATTTACCTACAGATGCATTTGTATGTATGTGTGAATGTTTGTGAGCTCCCTTAAGCTATAAATGCAACATCTTAGACATTATATCTATATTTATATGTGTGTGTGCATGCATATATATATATATGGATATATTTATATATTGGAACAACTATGAATATACACACATATATAAATATACATATATATTATAAAAATAGATTGATATAAATATATAAAATTATATATATGTTTACATATACATATAATTATATATATATCAAGCTATTGCCCCTAAGCTAGTGCTTAGCTGGCAGCTAAGTACTATGCTCAGTCACCTGGAAAAAAAAATAAACCTCATAGGTTGAGATAAAAAACTTAATAACTTAAATAAGATAATAAAAAAAAAGTAACAGTAGTCATAGTCATAGTCATAGTAATAAGAATAATGATAACAATAATGAAAGAGAGGGAGAGAGAGGAATAAAACAAAAGAGAAGAAAGTGATGTACATACAATTACTCAGCATGTGCTGACGGTGCCCAGCCCATCCCTGAAGAGCAACTGGCCCCTTCCAGGTCAATCCCCCTCAGTGTCTGTACTGGGCATGATGCTCTGGGGTGTGGAATATCCCTTCAGCCAGGTCATCTGTGCTGGCCATGTTCCCCAGCTTCTTGTTCCCCTGCTCACTGGCAGAGCACAAGACCCTGACAACTCCTTGTCTGTCTTCCAAATGTTTTTTTTTTCCCACCCTAATCTCTCTACACAGTTATGGAATCCTTTCTTTTGCTGTACTTGGGTTATCTTCCACCTCTGCCCTTCAGCAGTGACTGTTTCAGCTTCTGAATACCTGCAGTCTTGAGGTGATTTTTTGGTGGGTTTTTGTAGCATTTAAAAGAATTATATATCATCATCATCAAACACAAAGTGTTAGAGCTGTAAGGTCTACTTTGTTTCCATTGGATTTTTAAAACGTCAGGTGGCTGAAAATCCCTCACCAGGAGCAGGGTAACTGGAGCAGCCTGGCTGAGAGCTGCAGTGGTGGCTTAGGAATGGAGCATACCTGCAGCCTCCTCACTAGGTGGGGTTGGTTGTTTTAGGGCCAGGTACTGCCAGCAGTGTAGGGAAATGGCAGTGTGCAAATATCATATTTAAAGTGTTTCTGTTCTTGTACCTTTTAGGCCCGGGGTAGCATGGTATGGTCACTGTTTCCACACCCTTAAGTACTCTCTCTTTTACCTTCACTTCTTATTTTCCTACACAAGGCTTGCTCTTCTAGTATCTATGAAGCAGCAACAGTCTGTTACTTGTCATGTGTCTTCCTGAATTCCAGATAACAAGATGAAGAATTTCTGTTTTGCTTTTCTACAGTTGTGATCAGATTTGTGGAAAAACTAGGTAAAATGTCTTGAGTTCCCATTTGTGATCTTGACAGATATTCTCCCTGCACATCTCTCTTTTTCAGGGGCATTGGACAATAGCTCCTTTCAGGATTTTATCAATTACAAATTGAAATTCAAAACTGTTACTGATATATTGCAGAAACCAATGTGTTATCAAGCCAAAGATGAGTAAGGGTCATAAATCCTTACTGGTTTTAGAATAGGAAATCCACTCTTGCTGAAATATTTCTTGTAGATAAAGGAAAATGTTAGGAAAGAAATATTTCATCTGTGTTATTAAAGTGACTCCAGACTAGGAACATGAACAAATCTTATGTGTGAGGAAAAAGTACTCATGTACCATAAGTGCTAATAATTCGTGTGGGTCCTCATAGTTGCTGGGAAATGTGACATCATTCAAGTTATGGGAACCATTTTACTGAATTTGCTCAAATTATTTCCATTTGTCCTTGCTCAGGGCTTGCAGAGTTGATACCCATGAGCCACCTGAGCCCTGGTATTTATTCCTGTGGCATCTCCTGTTGCATCTGAAGGACACTCGTTACTTACAGGTGGTGTTTGTATTTTAGATGCAATTTCAGGTTATAAGCACTAGAAGCAAAGGAACACATACAATTAAAATACCCAAACACAAATCAAATATGAACCAAAGCAGTCCTTCCAGCTGTGGTGAACACAACTACAGTCACTGTGTCAAACTTAGTAAAAAAAGAGGATCCTTCCCCTTTGTTCCTCCTATTACAGCCATTCTTAATATGATCCTCTCATTCCTCAGATGTTTAGAAATCTTTTAATTTCTATAACCTCTTTTTGCCTGTGCCAAGACATCCTTTAACTTACAAAGCTGTTTTCTCACTGTGGTGTTTTTCTAATCTCAAAAGTATTTTCAAAGACAGCTGTTATTTGGCCAAATTCCCTATGCTCTGCTATCTCAGGGTCTTAAAATAAACTTTGCAATCCCCTGGGCTTTGTTCTCTAGTCATTCTCTGAATTTGGGCCAAACTGGAGGAACCCTTCAAGAATTTGGTGCCCAGACTAGAACATGAATGTCAATAAGATTTTTACTAATGCCTTCTTCAGCAGCATTTAGACTTTTTAGTGGAATGTTTCACATGCCACCTCTTAGTAATGTTTAAATTATGTGGAATTTCTATTACATGGAAAAAATGGATTTGTGTTATTTGCTTCAATTTTTAATTAACTGATCTTTCAAGATATAGGTCCTTCCATTATTCCTTCACATATTCTTCTTGACACACTTCTACACCTTGCTATCAAGCTTGGGCTTCCATCAAAGTATTTGTTACCATTTCTGATACTCTCATTTAATTAGGGCCCATCACTTTGGTGTTCAGCTTCCCATGACTCAAATGTTCCTCTGCCTTTGGAGTTACTAGGACCACAGTAGTGTGTGGCAGCATTTTCAGTGTTCAAAGCTGCACAAAAGGAAGAAAAGCAAAACCATCGCTCTGCTTCCTCCATCTTCCTCAGACCTGAGCAGGGACCCAAGAGAAGCAACCTCTGCGTAATGAAGAATCACTGTTGTATCTCTTTGGCCTTTTCTTATTATTAAAACATTTTCAAATGAATAATTTTGATTCATACTCCATGTAATTTCAGAGACCTGTGTAATTACATCATTCATACTGTTCTTCTGTTAGGAGAAAAGAAAAAACTCCACACCAAACTCTGGAACTTTTTTTGCAGTCTTTTATAACTCATCAGCCGCAACAGAACCTCCCTGATACTATTTTTCTTTCGTTTCATTTTTTTTTTTGATTCCCTCTTCCTGTGTTTAAAGGAAAGGGTTGCAGTGTGGTACAACTAGCAGAATTCAGTTATACTTCAGTCCATGCTCACAGCACTTTTCAAGTGGCTCAGAGTTAACAACTGTGAAAATAATCACAGTACAGCATCAACATCAACCTAGCCAAATGAATCACAAGTACATTGATAATAAATTCAGTTTAAAATAAAATTGTTATAAATTCATTGACAAATTTGTGACCTGGAAGCCATGAGATAATTAAGGCAGTTAGTACATCCTGGTTTGATGGGATGTGCTGAAGATTAAGGTTTTATTAAGAGCCTTTTTGGTGTTCCAGTTGTTTTGCACCCACTACGATCCCAGTAAGACAGGCACTCAGATTATGAGGTGTCATTTAAAATGCTGTTTGCCAGACCTAATTAACACAGTAAGGAAAGCACAGTATAAATAATTCTTACATTCCTGTCAGTGAAGGGAACCCCACGTCGTGTAGCATCCAACAGGCACAGCACACATTTATAGTAGTAGGTCTATGGGTGATTATATCCAGTATTAATCACCATGAAGACAGGTTTGGATTCTAGAGAAATGCTACTGACTTTATTAGCAAAGGGTTGAAATTAAAGCAAGAACAGTATTGTCTACAATCAGAATTTCCAGCAGAATTGTTTGTCTAGACCTCTTGTGCCACTGCTGCGCCAGTGTTCTGCTTCACTTGGGGTTGTGAATATTAGTTTCAATATGGTTTTAATCACTGTGTAATTTTAATTTATCATATCACTTCAAGGTTCCTGTGGATATTCTTTCTATTAGGTAAAGTGCCAATGCATCATTTGGGTGGGGGTCAGTTCTGATCCTTGCAATATGTATGGGAAAAAACCTCCCATAATTTGTGGGGATCTCTAGCTAAGAATGTGAGGCATTAAACTGGTAATCATCAATTGCCTGTGAGTTGATTAAACTCAGAATTTCTTAGATGTCCTTATGTTGCATCCCACTTTCACTAGTGAGCAAGTGTTGCTTGTACCAGATGCTTCTGAGCAATACGTAGAAGATTCCTTATGGAATGTCCTACACAGCACATTTCCTCCTAACATCTGTTGATGGTTCTTTTGGATATGCTATAAGGCATGAGGCTTAAGCCTTTTTTTAAATATTTTATCCTGCCTAAAGTAGTACAGAATGTTGTCTTTACCCCTGCAAATGCCTGCTCTTCTGTGGTGTTGGTCCTTTCTTTGTCGTATCATCTGGTAAAGTTTTACGGATGAATAACAAAAATGAGCCCACTTGGCCAGACCACAGGTACACTCAGGCCAGTACCCTGTTGCTGACAACAGTTAACAGTGAATATTTACAGAACTCAGTGGGATAATGGTATGATACTCCCAGCCTCCAGCAGCCATTCCAGAATTTACTTAACCAAACATATAAAACCTGACACATTAATTTGTCCCTTAACTTCGTAAAGCCACGTAAGCTTTTCATGTAGCCGTTCTGTAACATAGATTTCTGCAACTTAACAACCCACTGTTGAGAATCATTTCCTTGTTTTGTACACAGCATAATTACTTT